TCTCCCTTCTGGTTCTTCCAGCAGCAAGTGCTCTATCTGAGATTGTGAAGTAGTCTGTGATATTTTTTCCGCATGATTCATAAAATAAGCTTTATTTTTAATTAGTCACTGATTAATTTATCAGCCCTCTTCTATTACTTAACGGCTGTATAGTTTATGGAACAATGCTCTTGTCTCTGCCATAGCCATCATGCCGGCACATTCATCTTAGTCCATCCAGTAGGAAAGTGCCGAGATTCACTCCTAAATTACCTTTGATGTGTGACTGAAATTATGGCCTGTTTGCAAGTATATCCTCCACAAAAGAAGAATCCTTAGGGGGCACAAGTACCATGAAGACAGAGAAGATTTAATCTGGCTTGTGAGCTGCATGGAAAGCCACACCTAGTGGCACAAACCAAAATAGATGACTAAGACCATTAGTCACTCCATAAATATGAACGACGCGTGTGTAATTTAAGCCAGGTGTATTTCAAGGCATCTTGGCACGGATGTGATCATTAGGACATTGTTGGCGGCTGTCAATATGTGTCATTCGTTAAAGTAGAATTCATCAGCATTGACACTCTGTGCGCACAATAAACCAGCAGATGGTGTGTGACAATTTCTTCAAGGTGACATCAAAAACATCCCATGTAATCCTTCTTGTTTCCTTCAGCAAGAGTATTTCAGAACATATTTTCTTTTGCAAATTAAAGAAAGATAGCAAAACATGTGACGAAATTTTGTGTGCAAAGATGTTTGAATGGGAAGGACTGTCTAAATCTGCCTAGATGATCTGTGTGTGAAATGTGATGAAATTTATAGAATGCAGCTCACTAAAGCAGGGAAAATTATAACACACAGGAGAAATGCAGCAGGTCATTGTATTTGGATCTGGCATTCTTCCCACCCAGCTGAACGAGATCAGTGGATGAGCTGAAAATGGATTTTAAATATTTTTCTTATTTTGCAGAGGAAGCCAGTGTCTGCAGTCTTGACTGAGAAGAAGAGAAAGACTTGGACATTGACACTTAGTAACATTTTCCACTTAAGAACCATTAGAATTCACCAGACAAAACCTAAGGGTTTTGAAATGAATACATCTTCAGCACAATTCTGTAAATACAAAACATGTATAATAGTATTCTAAAGCATAAGCTAAATTTGCTAGCAATGGAAGCAGAAATGATTAGCAGTTTCAATTAATAAAAGTATATTTTTTATAACTTACTTATCTTTATTTTATATGCATTGGTGTTCTGCCTGCATGCATGTCTGTGTGAGGATGTCAGCTGTCCTGGAACTGGAGTTACACACAGGTGTGAGCTGCCATGTGGGTGCTGGGAATTGAACTCAGGCCCTCCGGAAGAACAGCCAGTGTTCTTAACCACTGAGCCACCTCTCCAGCCCCTAAAAGTATACTTTTAATTAAGGACAAAGCCAGCATTATATAAAACTGGAAAAAAAGTACTGACAAACGTTGCAATGTTGATGGTTTTCCCATGCTTTTGAATTAATTGTATCCCAGTTAAGTCATAAGCAATAAGATCCTGGGAAATTTTCCAGTTTCTAATTAAGTTTTTCCTGACTTGAAGTTCATTGGAGAAATGGCAGGAAGTTTCTTTTCAGCTGATGGAATGTTTCCTGTCCCCTTCTGCAAACAGTCCTTACTCAGCATGTTTATGAAGCCCCTTTGAAGAACCGTCTACTTTTGCAAAGGCTTCATCTGGGAATTTTCCCACCAAACAGAGCATTTGTTTTTACCATCTCCTGTGAGCGCACTACCCACCAACCACAAGTGATTTACTAGCCACCCAGTCCCAAGTGCCACTATGTTCAGTACAGGGTCCACTCTTCTCAAAGTTTTGGGGACAGCAAAAGGTTTTCATTTCTTCCAGGTCTTTACATCACCAGGACATGCTCAGACGCATGGAGCTACTGACAGTGATCTGCTGGAACATGCAGATGGCTTACCGTTTGCCTTTTAAAAATATGATTATTAAGTATTATTGTCTCTTTTACTTGAGCTGAGTCTCCAACACTTAAATGTCTTGAATGTCAGGTTCTAAAATCCTGAATTAGTATAACACTTTACTTGCAAAATGGTTGGTGTTTAAACCACTAGACTGCAATCTAGGATGGCAAGTATAGCATGTCTCTACCAAAGTATCTGGAAATATGCTAGTATGCAGTGAAGAAAAAAAAATGAGAGATTAAGAAAAATTTTAAGTTATCATAGCAAAGAATAGGGGGAAAGGGGACTCACTGCCCGACTGTTTTTGTGATGATAGAAAATGTTCTAGCTGTGGCAGAAAGGGGTGGGTGTGATTTGCGGGACTTCTGTGAGATTTCTCTAATTGTTATGATTTTAATAATGGCATCCAGAAAATTTGACTCCTTTGTCAGTTTCCCAGAGAGAGGAAAACCTCCTCTTTATTTGAGTTGTCTAATTCTATCCTTTAAACAGCCTCACGGGAGAAAAATGTCATTACAAAAATGATGTTACTGAGGCTTATGGATACCAGAAAATGCTCCCAAAGTCCAGATGCTCACAGCCCATGGAGCTGGTAGGAGCTGCCACATTATGTCTGAGCACAGGAGGAACTATGTTGCTCTCCTCCTCTCTTCCTCATGATGCTGTCAGAGCAAACGAAAAAGGAGAAGGGAAGAGGGGTCTTCTATTTTTGTTATTTTGATACGTAATATCCTATATGCGGTTGATAACTTACAAGTCCCTAGCATCATTGGGAAAACAGTATAAATCTATTTACCACTTTAAAGCAAACAAAACCTCTGAATTTGATACAAAGTAAAAAGCAGCTTCTTTGTATGTGGAAAAGGTAAATTCTGCCATGCAGCAACACCAAACAGAACCGCTGAGACAGGTTTCTGGGTTTCATCCTCTCTATTACCAACTACCTGCCTCACGGCGAAGCTAGGGTGAAGGGCAATGCAGGAAGAACTCAAGACAGCAATAAAACTTCCTGAAGACAGTTTGCGTCTTACTCTCCCTACACACCAGAACCTCCAAACAATGCCAGCGTGAAAGTACTCCTGACAGAAGAAGTTTGTTTTTCACTTTTCTAGTTTATATTCTAAACAGTTGCTATGACTAATTAGTATATTTTAATAATATGTATACAAGCGTCAAATTCGTCCTTTTAAATTACTACCTTTTAGTGAACATTACATCCTATACAGAAGTTACTCTGGAAAGTTTTGGATAGAATTACTGTCACACACACACACACAAGCATGCACACACACACACACACACACACACATACAGGGAGCGGGCGCGAGCATCTCAGTCCATTTGAATTTGCTTTGGTGCAGTTCTGATTCTTTGCCAGTCACACACACGTGCCCCTTTTTTAAATAGTAGATCAGAAAGTGCAGTGGTAGCAAAGATACAGCAGAGCTTGATTTGCATCAATTCTAACACTGTGTGTAACTACTTTGTGGTTTTACTAGTATTTAAAACTTCCACAGGGGAAAAGTAGGGAATGCAGATGCAATAAATATATTTCTTTAGTAAGTGCCTACTTTAGCTTTCATGAAATATCTTACAAAGTCTGAATCATGATGCTTAACTTTAAACGTATTCTTTTAAATTACAGAATAAATTAAGAAAACAGAAAGGACAATACCACTACCCATTACAGGTTTCCTTTGTTTAAAAAAACTTAAGGTACATATAAGTGTGTTAATTTATTGTCTCTTCTCCTTTTGGTATATTTATATATTTTGATAATTGTCCTGGTCATATGAAGTGCAATGAGACAAATACATTCCCCTCTCTACATTTTTTCCTGGAGATTTTCTTGAGCTCAGGAACACTTTCTTTAAATGCAAACAAATAAACAAATAAACAAACAAACATCCCACTCTAGGTGAGGGAGGTTGCTCAGTGGGTAAGACATTGGCTATGCCAGCAAACTTGAGTTTAGACCCAGCAACAGTGTAATCGCCGTATTGCTAGGGGTGGCTGAAGGAGAGACAGGAGGATGGCTAGGATTTGCGGGCTGCCAGCCTTGCTGAGAAAACCAGCAAACTCCAGATTCAGTGAGAGACTTTATTTCAAGGTATTAAGGCAGGTCTTCCTCAGGCCTCTGAATAGGCAGGCATGAGCACACAAATGAATCATACACACACACACACACACACACACACACACACACACACACACACACACACACCAAAACACAGAAACAACCCCCCCAAATCTAAAAATTTTACGGATCTGGAAGGAGTCTGTGAGAAACTAAAAGGCTAGACTGATTTCCCTACAGCTGGAACCCTATTTTACCTCTTCTTGTGTCTACTTCCTTGGTAAATATAGCTAGTTATACAACACGATCTTTTCTTTTTGGGGCTTATGATATCATCAGAAGTGGTAAATGTGTGCCAGTACTTAGGGGGGGAATGAAGGCTTGCTGTCTGAATACTGAAGAAAAATGTTGAAAAGTATCAGCAGAGTGAGAATTGGGAGGGATGGAGAGAGAGTAGCAGGGTATATTGAAATTATGGTCATTACAACATCTGCCATAGATGATGATTTAAGATGTGCCTATGCATCTAACAAAGAGCTTACACAGAAGGGAAAGGCTCAGTGGGGAGCATGAATAATGAAGTTTGGTGAAGATATTGAAAAAGCTTATTTTTCATTCCTGATCAGGTTTAAGGGTCCATGAACTTCCTATGTCTGCCAATTTTTTTTGTAAATACTACTGAATTGTATTTTGAGCAAGATCTTTGAAAACATTTTGGAAATAACTAAAATACCAAATAATCCTCAAAGACATTTTTCCTTTTATTTATGTCTTTTGTCTGGATGTGTTAGAAATGGAAGCCAGCACCTTTCACATGTTAGGCAAACACTGTTACACTGAGTTGTCACCCTGACTTAGTAGTCCTTATAGGAAAGTAGAAAAACCATCCATATATCTTTTCTGGTACAAATATGGGGACATAAATTCATGCAAAGACCCCAAATCCAATACTCAATATATATTGAAAGCAAAATTGCCAGAAGATGTCATAAATGCATTGCCACAAATTATGGGCAGAGTTTCCTGCCTTTGGGGAAATCCCAGAGTTTAACATGCCCTAAGTGTCATGATTAAACCTCACATGGGAAAAACCTCGTCTGTGCACATGGCTTTTCCCCTGCTAGCTAAGCATGCTTTGAAGTGGGCTAACTGCTCCGACCATTCTTGATGCTGTATTTTTCTTGTTCTGCCAGGTCCTGCCACACTTCTCAGCCCCAAATGAACACACAGACTCTGTAGTAATTATTAAACTGCTGGCCACTGGGTAGGACTTCTTATTGGCTAGCTCTGTCTTAACTATTAACATATTTCTGTTAATCTATGTATTGCCATGAGACTGTGGCTTACCCGGCATGCTACTTCTTAGGCCGCACCACAACTCCTCTTCTGCCCCCTGCCTACCTTTCCCAGAATTCCCCTTGTCTCATAGTCCCACCTATCTTCCTGCCTCTTCTGGCTATAGGTCAAGCGCTGTTTTATTCACCAACCAAGAAGAGAAACATATATACTGAAGGACATTCCCCATCACATTCTCTGCATAAAAATCATACAGCTGTTCTTTCCCTTTGGGCAGGTTCTGCACAAGGACATCAGAGATTTCCAGGAGAAATTGCAATTCCCAAGCTTCCGCATTGAAAGCTCTTTGAAAGTCTGGGAAGCCTCCAGTCTAAAAAAAGGGGGGGAGTAAGCAAACATTAAGTGTGAGCAAGCCTGTAGGGTGACGTGGTAGCACAGTGTTCATACTTCTTGCTCACATGCCTCTTGAGACCTGGGACAGGGCATGAATTGTCAGCCTTCAGTAGCAATGCATTTCAAGTTCAAATTTGTGTAGGTAAGTCTTTACCTCTCTCTCTCTCTCTCTCTCTCTCTCTCTCTCTCTCTCTCTCTCTCTGTGTGTGTGTGTGTGTGTGTGTGTGTGGTCTTCTGTAATGATCCTTGTCTGTTTCCTTGATGAGAGTTGGGGACTATACTTACCTGTGTGTAGAAGGACTAATATTTATAATGTAGCTAAGGACTGTGCTGGTTTAGTAAAGATCTGTTGTAGGTTTTCCTCCAAGATCCATGACGAAACTAGCCCTAGATAGCTGGTTTCCAGAACTACTTATGTTTTCCCTCTTGTTGAGCAGTAGATCACATTATTAGTTATCTAAAAATAACTATAATAAATATAACTTTGTATATAAATATACAGTTTAACTAAAATTGTTCCATGTGTTCTGACAATGCTCCTTCCAAGATGCAAAAACATTTAGCAAGCTCTCAAACCAGGGGGAGGGACGCCTGCTTTTGAGTTGTTTTTCAGAGTTGTTTAAGAGACTCAGAAATCATGAAGCTATTGCTGTTGCCCTGCAAATGTATAAGTGAGTCCCTATTGCTGAATACACCATGTACTTCTGACACAGGACACAGTTGCCCGCTGAGCTAGAAACTAACCTTATAGACACCTCCCTAGAGATAGCTTTCTGAATGGGGGAAGCAGCCAACAATCCTACCATATAGGATGCTTGGGAAGCACAACAGTGTCCTATACGGCATGAGAACACTAAGTGTATTTTTCATGTGTTTAAGTTCCAGCTATTCTTCAAGTTACGCAGGGAAAACAGGCTTTTACGTGCATAGAATCCGATTGATATATCTGATCTCCAGCCAACAGGAAAATCAAAGTAGCACTCCATTTCAAGTCTGAAAATACCAGTTGAAATCAGGCAAAGATCCATTAGCAAGATAACCTCATCCTTCCTTACATATTAAGAATGCTAGGACACACTTATGCTTGCTGTTAACTATTTCATTAAAAGGCTTTGCAGTTCTAATCCTCCATTAATTTAGTGTAGGAGAAGAGATATAACATGTACAAACTTGCAGAAGCAGCTTGTTACATAAACTCTGTTTGCCTCGAGACATGACTCTCTAACCTGTTTTTCAGTTTTGTTTGGGTTAGGCGCTACTGACTGTATAGGGTTTACTGATAGAAGCCACTTACTGCCAGGGTGTAGGCTCAGTTGCAACACTTTTTATTTTCATACTCGCTCCTCAATTTAATGCTGTGTGGAAATGTTATTTAGATCTTAGATTCTGTTTACATACATTTATTTATCTACAAAGTGATTTAGAAATATTATTTACTTGTTTTGGAATATTTTTTGCAAGGGCTGCATGAATGCCATGAAACTCACATGTATGTACATGCTTATTAGCAGTATGATGATGACACAGAGGAAGAAATTTATCAATATGTCCTCTGTTCTACTGAAATGTCATAAAGAATGGCCAAATAGGACTAATAACTGCAACATAAAAGAGTAGGGGAAAATACTGTTATCATAGATATAAAAATGCACACATCAATGTAGATGATCCTACTTATGTATAGATTATTGGAGGTTAACTTTACCCAATGCCATCCTTTAGAACAGTGGTTCTCAACCTTCCTAAGCTGTGACCTTTTACTACAATTTCTCATGTTGTGGTGGCCCCTAACCATTAAATTTTTGCCATTTCTATTTCAAATTGCAATTTTGCTATTGGATCACCAGACTTTCTAAAGGAACTACGGCAAAGAGTCCAGGCTGTCACATGACCCAAGAGCAGGTTATAATAATGAGGGAAACTACAGTTCCTTCCACTAAGGTGACTAGCAAGGCTCATACCACACACACAAACAATAGCAAACTACCTCACAAAGGAAATGAAGTTTTCCAGATGGTGATGGCATCTTTGTGACCAGCATTCCCATAGCAGTTTCTGGCACGTAAGATGTCACTGAGGATAGCTAACTAGAAAAGTGACCACTTTGTGAGAAAACCCAGGAAGACTTAGAAGAAGGAAATAAGTAATTGTTATTGGCCATATGTTCAGTGGAAACAAAAACTATGATGAGTATACTCTATGCTTGTGTCAAAACAGCCAATTGGCGTCTCTAAAACCTGTAAGAAATACTTAGGATGGTACCAATCCACGAAGCTCTATACCAGTGTGTCCTGAGATTTCTGTCCCCAAAATACATCATATTTCATTTCTGTCACATTCTAGAAGGTCTACATTTAGAATTTTGGAATTATTTTTAACACTAGTTATTTTGCTCAGAGTAAAATGAGAAAGATTGTTTGATGATTAAAGAAAACCTAAGACAACTGCATTAACAATGTGCAGAATTGTCAATTTCCAGATACCTGAAAAGATAGCATTAAAGTATGTCTTTGAGGGTTACGCTTTCCTAGCTATACTCAGAATGTCATGAAACAAAAGCATAAGAGTTGTAAATAAATAATAATCTTTCTGTTACAGACCTTTGAATACTTGTGTAGTAACAATCCTGGGGGGGAGGTCCTTTAGTTTTGAGAATGATAAGATTATTTCTCCCCTGTTTCTCCTTTCTGAAGCCACTCACTGTCAATAAAGAAAAAAGAAAAAAATCTGCTATGGAGAAGGCCAGCCGGGAGAAAACTTGATAAGTAAACCTGGTGACCTGAGTTCCCCAGGGAATGTGGACCCACAAAATTTGCTCTCTGACTTCCACTCACATGCTCTGCCCAACATCCAACACACATCATGATTATGGGGATGATGATATTTTTAAACTAAATCCAGAAAGATGTCATAGTTGGCAAAATATTAGCATGTAAGCATGAGGTCCTGAAGCCTCTCCCCATAAGTCTACAAAACAGAGCTAACAGTGGTGATGCACACCTGTAATACTAGTCCTAGGTCAGAGAGTCAGGTAGAGCCCTGGGGTTCTATGTCCAGTCAGCCTAGTATACATATATAGCCTAATTGGCAGGTTCTATGTCAGTGAGAGATCTTTTCCTCACAAACCAAAGACAACAGTATAAAGATAGAGGGAGCAGGATAAAGAATTCAAATTAGCCTTGGAAACAGGGAGTCCAAGGCCAAACTCAGATCCTGTCTCAAAAAACCAAGAGAGAAAGGAAAGAAAAGAAAATGAAGGGAAATAACAAGAGCTGTATCAATTTTAGTGAAGTAATAATATCAATCAGCCTACATTTAATATGATATGTATATGTAGAATAGCTAGGGGCAGTGAATATTTGTACATGGTAAAAGACTAAAGCCAGAAATAAAGACACATCTTATGAAAATGTTAGTTTAAGAAAGGGAACAAGGGTAATGACTGCTTTTCTAAAGTTAAATTTCACTTCTCATTCTAGTTACTCAGGAAGCTGAGGCAAGAGGATCACTTTGGCCAAGGAGATTACGGATAGCCTGGCTAACGAACTAAGACCCCCACCTCACCAAAGAAGGGCAGGAAAGATGACTCAGTAAGTAAAGGTACTTGAAGCCAGTCCTAAAGACCTGAGTTAGATCCTCAGGAGAGAATCAACTTCTGCTTCTTGTCATACTGACTCTCTCTCTCTCTCTCTCTCTCTCTCTCTCTCTCTCTCTCTCTCTCTCTCTCACACACACACACACACACACACACACACACACGAGAGAGGCAAACAGGCAGACAAAGACAGAAATAAACAGAGAGACTGAGACAGAGAGACAGTGAGAATAAATGTAAGAAAAAGAAGGAAGATGAATAAAATCAGAGGTTTTCATTAGTCTTGAGAAAGTAGCCCACACTGCAAAAAGTTCGTGGTCTCTTTGATTACCGTTTGTACTCATTCTTATTATTTGCCATCCTTTTTTATTTCATGGCAGAGTCAGGTAAACCTAGTACCTCAATATCAAAATAGCAATTGATCGGGCATATGCAGGCTGCTACGAAGCTCCTGTGATGTCTGTTTGGAGACATGTTATTTTTGCAGCATCCTTGTAACTGAGTCGCAAGCTCTCAGTTCTTGTAGTCCGGGTCTTTTGCATTACCACAGTCTAGAGTGGGATTCTCTTCCCTCGTGTGTAGTGTGAAGACCTTGATGTCATACGAGTCCACTTCTCTTAGCTTCTGTGCTTCTGTTACCGTAAGACTGGCAGCTATGGAGCAGCAGAGTCAGAGGGCAGTTGGGCAGCACTGGAAAATGAACGTCACCACTGAAAATGCCTTTAGAGACTTGAATTCATAAAGGCACAGGAATGTTTTGAAGTTGTGTGTCTAGGCGGTAACTGAGGTGATGAATACATTTGCATTGACTGAGTGGGGTAGTGGGGGAAGAAAGGGAAGGTGGAATTCTGCAGTTGTTAAAATGAGAGGCTCTGTGCAGGAGAAATAAAAACCCACGAAGGATTAATGAGTAGTGACATAAGAGAAAAGAAGTGGAATAAGCAACATTGTCAGAACAAAAATAGGAACAAATTTAGGGAGTGGGAGAGGATTAGAAGAGATTGATCTATCATTTTCAGGTAGAAGGATCTTATAATAGTGAACATCTATTATCTATCTATCAATCTATCTATCTATCTTCTATAATCTACCTGCCTATCATCTATCATCTACTATCATTTATCTGTAGACATATATTTCTAACTGGAGATTTTTCCTAATCATGTCTTTTCATGCCTTCTACATAGACTAGGAATCTATAAAAACAACAAACAAACACCTATCTACTGGTTCTCACTAAGGAAAAATTGTGAGACTGATGATGGCCAGAGTACAAATTAGAAATTCTATGCAGCATTGAAACATTGAAAATTACCAAACAGGTAATAGGTTCTAAGGTCAGGATGCACAAGAGGAATACTTTGAACTTTGAAAACACATCTACGCTTGTTATTTTGGTCAACTAGTACAGATACAATTGTCAAAGGCATTTTTGTAACTTGAGAGTTCAGAATTGGAGGTCGCACACAATTTCATCACAAGTTTAATTGAAAATAAAGTGGATTTCAGTTTGGTGGTGTCACCCTGCTATGTCTGGATTTGGGGGCTGGAGTGAGAAGGAATAGAAGAGACTATAAATCAGCCACTGTGGCTTTGATTAGAGGTCATCTGGGCTTCTCTCTACAGATTATGTACATGAAGGGTGAGGGGTCAAAATCCAGGGGTGTGCATTTAAGTTTTGCAACTAAATTTGTTTATTTAAATATCAAGATGTAAAATTGAAATCTAGGAATAATATTTGATTAAGAGCAGAAAGTAACTAATATAAATAATTGTGCTGTGATTGCATACATTCCTTGGAGACTAATTTTGCCAGAAGTAAGAAAGCTGCCTTGCCTATTTTTAAAGAGTCAAATTACATTTCTGTACTTTTAAGTTTAGTGTATCTTAGCAACCTACCAAGTAGAATATGCATGCCTAAGAAGAAGAAAAGATTTGCAATGGTCCATGCTTTGTTTATGGCAATGTTAAAATCCAGGACTTCCGATAGCATTATTTGGATTAAATAATATCCATGATATAGGAAAGTCATTTACTTGTAATTGATTTCATAGAGAAAAGATTCTTTGGGGGTATTCTTTAGTTTATAGAATCTCTTAGCACTTTAGACAGAGGAATCTAAGTTTGCACCACAGAGTCTGAAACACATTTTAAATTCCAAATTGGCTTTTGTAAAGATGAGAGTATTGGGCAATACTTCATACAGTCAATGATTTTCAACTAAGTTAAGTATCCTGTGAATGGTCATTTTACAGTTACAAATCAATTCATAATATACTGAGCATCTATCATGACCATGCACCCTGTAAAAACTAAAAACCATTAAAAGTGGCTGTTTGGATTTTCAATGAGCTACTATTCTAAGGGGGAAAAAAATCAGCTATCAATTTGTATGCTGTGTAATGACAGAAATATTGAAAAATTTTTCTCAGGACTCAGTACATCTGTCTTATAGGGTTCATTAACCTCTATACACACACACACACACACACACACACACACACACACATACACACACACACACACAGGAGTAAAAAAAATAGCCCCATGCTGGGCGGTGATGGCACATGCCTTTAATTCCAGTTCTTGGGAGGCAGAGGCAGGTAGATCTTTCTGAGTTCAAGGACAGCCTGGTCAGCAAATTGAGTTCTGTATAATCAGAGTTGTTACACAGAGGGACCGTTTGGGGGTGGGGGTGGAGGGCAAAACAGAATTACAAAGAAACCACAACACTTATTTTGAATTCTATTCATATGGCATTTGGATTATCTTTCTTATAGAATTTACTTACAGAATTATCAGTGCTATGCCAGCAAATTTTTTTTATTTCTAATTTTGACTTTTTTGAGTTTCTCTGTGTAGTCCTAGCTGTCCTGGAACATGCTCTGTAGACCAGGCTGGCCTCAGACTCGTAGAGATCTGCCTTCCTGCCTCTGTTAAAATGTATTTTCCCTAGAATGTGCCAAATTATTATAGAAATATCTTTTTTTCTGGACCAGAGAGGTGACTCTGGGAATAAATAAATGTACCTGGCACAAAACCCGGTGTGCTCAGTTGTATGCCATGCATGAAGGAGTCCTCAGACTACACAGGCATGCTGTATAATATTAAAAATTACTGCAACCCATGCTTCGTGCTGATAATTACCACAAGTCACGAGCAAGATTAGTCATCGATTTCTCACAGTTTCGTTAGGTTACAAGCAATGCTGTTCTCTCTGTGGCTGCCTACAGGGAATAGCAGAGCTCATTAACAATTGTGCTTCAGTTAATCTTAGCTTTCACATGTACTCGGCTTTCAGTTTGCTTGGGCCTGGGAAATACATTATATTCAGGGTTTTATCATTGGAGGTGTGGCCACTCACTGTTGTTTTCTGGAGTGGATGCCTCACTCTTGCCTGCTTCCTTCCCACCGGCTTTTTGTTTAGTAATGAACAAGGCAAATCTTTCCCAAAACAGTGCATCCTCCCATTCCTAACTCTGCCGTGCCCTCTACCTTCCAGCGCCATCCCTCATCTGATCTCTCTAGTCATTTCTTTCCTGAAGTTTCCCTGTGGCATCCGAAGTAACTAAGCTCTTTGCATCAGGTCTAGCATGGAATCTTAGTCTGAGAACAGTTTGCAGTTGTCTCGGGCCGTTTTTGTTAGCCTTGAGCACGAACAGAGAAAACAAGTGCTTCGGGTAATGGTTGGTCAGATATGCTTTAGACTTTTCCCCCACTTCCCACTGTGCTGGTGGCCTTAAACAAAGCAAAGAGGAAGGAAATCCTAGGGTGGAGGAAGAGGCGATCTTGACCCTGGATGTGACTTCAGGAAATTGACTCACTGCAACACTGAAGCTCTGTACTGACCCTTATATTTTGCGTCTGTCGTAAGCAGGGGTCTGGGATAAAAGAGGGGATGATGGCTCCGACAGCACGGCCATGCAGGCAAGCATGCAACACTTGCATCAAGCTGAATCGGAGAATGGATAGTTAGTTCTGTACCTGGGCTGGCCAGCTTAACTAGATCTTTGTACTGGGATGACAGTGGAAGGAGGCAGTGAAGTCTTCTGGACAAACGCACTTCATTCTGCTTTATACATACACTCGGCATGCTCCACGCAAGGGTGTGACTACAACAGGAAGTGAGGTTCCACTCCAAGCCCCTCCTCTGTCTCTCGCCTTCCTTTGCCAAGCAAAGAATTTTTATAGCAATTTTAATAGACAAAGAACATTACCTTTTAAAAGATAAAAGGATAAAAGAAGAGATTTTACCTCTAAGAGTGTTTGAAGGAATAGCACAGGGAATTTCAAAGCAGTATTTTCCATTGGTGATTGGCAGAGTTTCATGGGCGCTTGTGCTCCTACCTATTGCTGTTGTACTGAATGCCTCCACGTCTTGCCTGAGCAAATATTGATTGCTACAAGTACAAAAGTACATTCAAATTGAAATAAATGGACAAGCTAACAACCAAATCCTGTCCAGTTGCTAATGAAATATGAATTATGTTTTGAAGAGAAAATATGAACACATATAAATGAAATTATTCAAGAGAAGTAAATTTAAGACCCATTTAAGGTACTAAGGTTAAATTCAGGGCAGGTAATATGTCAAATAAAACCAGTGACTTTACATTAGAACCATTAAAATGAAAGTAAGACTAGAGAAGGGTAAAGAAGCCAATTTGCAAGAGAAGTTTAACATATTTGAAGTCATAAGACATGGTATTTCCATGATAAATGCTTGATTTTTAATTTTGTTATGCAGAGTACATTTTCCGTTTAAGGAAACCATAAACTTTTTAAGTAGTAGACCATAATTCCAAGCATCTATGTGACTGACTGATGAATTCCATCATCTACAAAAATATGATTGGCAGGACGAAAGTCCCATACAAAATAGGAAGGCAAACAAAACCAGTAAGAATGACAGTCACCAAGTCAAGAGTGTTAGAAATGGTGGCTTTCACAGGAAAACAGATGGCGCCATGTAGACTATTCTGCAACAATGAACCC